AAAAAAAAAGATTAAAAGGTCTTTATCTGAATCCTCCGCCAATTAATTAAAATCTCTTGAATTATTCATACCAGCTTTAATTTTTAGAATCTTTTCTAATCCTTCCGTGGTAAGATGATCTTTAATTATTTTAGCAGCTTTACATCCATCCATATAATTCAAAAATTTTAAGCCCACTGGAGGATATTTATTGAAAAAAGGTATAATTTTGTCATTAATCTCTGTAATATTTGAACATGCAAAATTACCCCAATCACCTTTTTGATTTTCAAATCAACCACATCCTAAATAAGTAATAAAACTTTTTAAAAGAAGTTCATCTTTAGAATGTTGAGTAATTTTAAAACTCAAACTAACATAGTGTCCTCCTGAGGGTTTATTTTTAAGTCTTATATAAAAACAACCTTCAGCGCTCGTGAATCCTGAAACTCAATAAGGGTTTCTTATTTTTTGATCTTTAACAAAGGGTTTAGGATAACTTTCAATATTAGGAAAGGCTGCTTTCAAGTCAGGAGATAAACCTAAATTCATCGCTGTTTTAATAGATATTAATTTATGAATACCGTCTAGAGTTAAATGTTCTTTATTAGAAAACATTTCCACAGCTTTCTTAAATAATTCAAAGTTCGAATGTTTTTGTGTTATTAAAGGGTATTTATTAAAATGATCTATGATAATATTCAAATCGTTAAGTTTACGAACTTGATAACGATAGACATTTTTTTCTCCCTTAGCTACTTGACCTACTCCAAAATAAGCCTGAACGGCATTCAATAAATCTTTATCTTTTTTATCTACACCTATTGCGAAACAAGCAGAAGATTCTCAACCACAAGTTAATTTAGAACTTTTTCGCACTGTAAGCGTAAAGGACCCTTCACCATCCGTAAATCCAGTCACAAATCAAGGATCCAGATTTGTGATATCAATCCTCTTAGTTGAATAATATCTTTTTTGACCTAATAAAGGTTTTGATGTACCGTTTAAAATCTTAATGGACTAATCTGTGCAGAGTCTTTAGACATATGGAATACGCTACCTGTACCAAAAAATTCTTTAATGCTATTTAATAACATTAAATCTTTTTTATGTAAACTTATTACAAATCTACAGGCTACACGTCAACCAGATTTATATTTATTATCTTTTATTATAGTTAATATAAAACAACCTTCACCTGATTTTTTTTTTT